TTGGTTAAACAAGCATCAGAAAAATCTTACAAGAACTCTTAGTTTTTTTTTATATTATTATTGAGATTGTATAACACTAATGTGTAGCTTTACTTCTATTTCCCAGTCTTTTGAGTGCACCAATGTGCCCATTAGCTAGCTCGGGCTTCTGGTTCTACATCTAATGCTATGGAATTGAAACTAGATCCCCCATCTTTATTCCTTATCTACTAAACATTCCTTAGATTAATAATTGATTAGAATGCCTTTTTCGGAAGTAAAAAAAAAGATGTAATGTATCTCATACATAAAAAACCTAATGCATATTCGAGATAAATGAATCCATACACCAGCATATCGATAGTAAAACAATGAATTTATGTCATGCTAAACGATGATAAAGGTTATTCAGAAATTTGCTGATTTCTTTTCCTCATGGATAGAACTCCATTCTAACATATAGACATACCTTCTATAATTTAGAGTCCTGGATGATCTCAGATGAAATACATTAGCAATCTAGTTCGGCATGTTGTTCATGTACTAATTGGAAGAGAAACTTGTTTATATCCAAGTGAACTAATACACAGCGAAGAGGTTTCCACCAAGCTAGGTTCATCTGATATTGTCATTAAGTACATTAACGACATTATACAAATGAATGGATCCTTAAGTCTAACCCAAATGTACTTTCTACTTTGAGTAGTACAACTACCAAGGCTTCATTTTCCATATTTTTCATACAACAAAAACTACCCAGCATGACTTGTTCACTGCTTTCTTCTCGTTTATTTCAGAAATTACGGTTAAACTACCAGATAAATGAAGATACCACTTTGTTAAATTTAAATTTCCTGAGTTCAAAGCAAAGGACATGAGGCTTGACATTCGTAAATTTTTTTGAATTTGTTTCCCCAAGTAGTACATGGGAATACCTCATAGTTTTTACAAATGTTTTAGGCCATGTGGAGGTGCCACTTTAAGGGCACCCCTAACTTATGAATAGTATTCCAACCTTAACCACATATTTGAAAAGAAAGGCACTACAATTACAACTTTTCACTTAATTGAATGGCAGAAAATTTATAAAGGGTTTTGAGGCCATGGTATAAAGATAAAACTAACCCCTGTTTGAAGTTATGATTGTAATAATTTGACAAGATGTATCCTCACTAATTAATAAACTTATCAGCATCATTATGTCTACTAATAACTTAATTACTCTGCACAATTCATTCTCCTTCTTTTAATCTACATTCTACGCTATGATTCAGTTATGATCATGAATCGAAAGAATCTTTGGTGGTTGGTCGATCCACAAGCACAAATAGCGGATAACTCTGTCTTGTTAGACTTAGGCAGATGAGAAGAAATCACATAACATTTACTGTCTCTGCATTAGGCTTAGAAATATACATTGACCTTGTACTTAGAAATGACTTATATTCTTATTAGCTACTACTAATGATAACTAAGATGCTTTTGAATTGAATTATCATTGTGAAGATCTATGATGAACTGGAGAGGCGCACTCTTGGTGTTGAATGTGAGCTTGATAAAAGCTACAAATGGACATTTCTGCAGAAACCATAAGGTATATATCTATCTTAAGCCAGACTGCACATCAGTCATAAGTATGTGTTTTTTTAAATGCTTCTAATCTAGTTAATATATCGCAGGATTCATTCATGTTCTGAAGAAGTGCCCATTTGTAGATTTTATCAAGCTCTGGTTCAACATCAAGAGTGAGCCTATCCAGTTCATCATAGATCTTCAAAGTGATAATTCAATTGAAAAGCATCTTAGTTATCATTAGTAGTAGCTAATAAGCATATAATTTATTTCTTAGTACAAGGTCAATGCATATTTCTAAGCCTAATGCAGAGACAGTAAATGTTATGTGATTTCTTCTTATCTGCCTATGTCTAATAGGACAGAGTTATCTGCTATTTGTGCTTAAGGAGAAAATAAATAGTTTAATAGTGCACTCTTTCATTAAAAGTGAATCCTAATGTTGTTACAGTGTGAACATCATTTGATGCATCATAGAGTAATTTTTTTGGTGAGTTGTGAATAAATTACCTCATGGCTGTACCAGTAAAGGGTTTTAGGAAAGTCAAATTTTGAGTATGCAGTCATATAAATTCATGTCTTGAAACTACGAATTTTCAAGATTTTTATGAGCACCAACCTTTTACTTTCACTTTTTATTGTTTAAGAACAAAGATTAGGTGGGAGGGGTAGAGTTCTGGAAAGAGATTGTTTGTTGGGTGTGGGCAGGTTCTTGATGAATTTTATACTAAATCTTCAAAAGAAATTTGTGATGATAAGAAGGTAAGACGGTCCCTTTTTATACAAGATAAATAGAGAAAATATTTGAGTTTGACCAAGAAATCAATATATTCATGCTAATCCAAAAAAGGTAAATTGTTTAATAACTTCCCAAAAATAAGTCTTCATGTTTAAAAAGATATAAAAAATTTCTTGAGCTATTAAAATAATATCGTTTATTAGAAAGGTAAAATATTTAATAAATTGCCTATGATATCTCCTCATATTTGGAAATAGATTAAAATTTGTTTGGTCTTGAAATTTAAAAGATTTATTAGAAAGGTAAAAAAATTAATAACTTTCATAACATCACTTCGTATATTTGGGAAGAAATGAAAATTTGTTTGAGCAACCCAATCAACAGATTTTTTAGCATGGGTTTTTGCATTGTATAAATTTAATTATTGGAGTTTGAAATATTTATTGGGATGTTTAGAAGAAGAATATGTACAATTTAGTACTTAACATTTAATCTTTTAATGCTACTTAACTCACTTATGGTATCTAGATTTTTAAAATAAAAATGTAGTTTAATGTAGAGATGCTTGCAACAGTAAGATATTAAGTAGTTATTTTGGACTTTTAGAGAAGAACACATTAATTATATCTGGCTTGTAGCAGTAGCATTATGTGATTTAAACAAAAAGATGAAGGGAATTTGAATTGGTTTTTTTCAAGTAGGATTTTTTTTCTTGTGTACCCTAGGAAATAAAGTCTTGATTTTTTTCCGTAGAATTGAGAATTACATTATTTTACTAAACCCTTTTTATAGACATTATACTACAAACATTTTCTACTTATACACTTATGGTTAGAAGTGGGCAATTTTCATATTAGTGAGAAATTCTTGACAAAACAATATGGAGGCTAGCTTTATAGAATAGTGAGACACAAGTAATGAAGCTCCACAATGTAATTGACACTAACCACTCTTTTAAAAATAATTATTATGATGAAACCCTTGTTTTGTTCGAAAAAGGAGAGTGATCTTAGGAGTATTTATGCGCCTAATAACCAATTTATCCCATATATTAGCTAAGTTTGAGAGAAAATTCCTAATCGGAACAGAAATTTTAGAGTCCATTGATTGTGTTTCCTCTAACCAATATGATTAGATGCTTCAGGGTGAAAAGCAAAGAAAAAGGAGCGAAAAAGGGCACTATGCAAAAGGTCGGAGAATAGCAGCCGAAGTTGCTAAGGAGAATGGCCAAGAAACTGGAAAAATACACTACAATGGAGCAACTCCGCGTTGCGGAGCTGAAGATAGCGTGTGGAAAACAATTCAGCTTAACAGTGGAGTGCGCGCCAGGAGTGCGTCGCGAAGAGGATGCATTTGTGCACAAATTGATACGATGGGACAGGACCTGGACTCCTAAGTTTCGGCACGTGTTTTATTTCAGACTATAAATAGTCCAGTTGTATTATTTTATCATTATCCAGTTTTTGAAAATGAATTTGGTGATTTTGCTGACACTATCTAGGGCTTTTCTTCTACTCCTTCATTTTGGTAAACTCTTTTATGATCTATAAACATTATTGGATGATGTTTTGTTCTAAGAGTAGCTAAATTCCCTTATTCTAGGGTTGTTTCAACGATAATGGTGTAATAATATTTGTTTCTAGCATGAGATGGGTTTTCTTATGATTTATACTTACATTCTTGTTTAACTATTTTAATGACTGATCAACATTAAAATAAACTCATTATCCACTCTTGAACTCGGAAGACGAATAGTGGGATAAACCAAAGAATGTGAGAAGCGTGTTCATTCTAGGGTAAAACTTAGAGTGTTTCGTATATAGGATAGGCTTATACCTATATGCCGCGTTTCATTAATATAAAAGCTGATAGCTTAATGGTCTGCCATTGGTTCATGCTTATCCCTGCTCTATGATGTAGTTAGGCTGTTATTGGTGGTACGCGATTAGAGGTCGGGAGATCATGATCGTAAAATTAACCTTGTGAGTCAATAATGAGGATAACCTGTCGAATGCTAGGATGAGTTATTATTATGCTTGAAATCGGTATATGCTACAACCCAAGAATAATTTCCCAAATTGCAAAATTCCCTTGTTTGAAATTGTTTAATTGTAGTAATTAATTTTTGAGATTGTTCAACTTAGTAGATATAAACAAATTCCTGAAATTGTCTGTCGCATAAGTAAACTTATTTTAGATGCAATAAAGTTATTATTTGTTGATTTGAACTCCTTTGGGTTCGATAATCTGGCTCGAAAGAGTCGCTGTACTACTTGAGTGACCTCGCTGAAATGAAACTAAGAGATGTCGCAATCCCACATACCACCAATGTTACCTCAAGTATTCAGAAACCTACAGCTGGTGGGAGGGTTGAATTGATGCAGAATATGGTTCAAATATTGCACACAAACAGATAGTTCACTGGTCTATCTCATGAGGACCCACGAATGCATATTGAGAATTTCCTCGATATCAGTGACACGTACACCCCAACCAGAGTGAACTCTGAATATGTGAGGCTCACCTTATTCCCCTTTTCTCTTATAGGGGAAGCAAAAAGATGGCTGAACTCTGAGCCAGCAAATCTTGGGATGAACTTGCCCGGATGTTCTTGATAAGGTTTTTTCCATCGGGGGAAACAACCAAGCTGAGAAGCGACATATTAAGATTCCGACATAAAAGCGGAAAAAACATGTACTAAGTTTGGGACATGTTTAAGTCCCTGTTGTTAAGTTGTCCACATCATCATCAAGCTAACGAAGTGTTGGAACCAAACACACAAATTTTACTTAATTCTGCTGCTGGTGGACAAGCTTTGGAGAAGACGTATGCTGAGATGTTCACATTGCTTAATAGAATTTCACAAGGTAATCCCGAGTGGAATGGAGGAGGAGCTAAACCGGTCGTACAAAAGAGTGCTGGAGTGTTGGAAATGGATGCAGTGACAACCTTAACTGCACAAATTTCAGCAATGCATAATATAATGACCACACTCTTCAGCAACATGTCACTAGGACACCAGCAAGCTCAAGTTAATATGGTGCAACAACCACCAACATGGTGTGACGTATGTGGAGGTGGAGATCACACTGCTGAGGTATGCAAATCAAATCCTGAATTTGTTCATTTGTAGGTAATGCTTAGCGAGGAGGAAATCACCACAACTATGGCAATACCTACAACCCAAGCTGGTGTAATCACCCAAACTTTTCATGGGGTGGTAATCAAAATCAACACCAAGGACAGAACCAATACAGGCCACAAGGTAGTGGACAACAGTAAAATCAGCAAAGCCATGGAAACCAGCAAGGTCATGGTAATCAGCAGGCTTCCAAGCAAGGTGATATGAGTGTGGAGGACATACTAAAACAAATCATGGCTGACCAAGCTAAATTGGAAGCAGATGTCCGAAACAATCAACTGGCAATTCAGAATTTAGAGAAGCAGTTTGGGCAGTTTGCTAGTGCCCAAAATTGCCGACCACAAGGGGGTTTGCCTGGATTTACTGATCCAAACCCTAAACATGTAAATGTTGTAAGTACTCGTAGTGGTCATCCATTGGAGGAGTTAACTCCAAAGGCAAAGGCTGCTGAAGAAAAAGGAAAACATGTAGATGAAGTGGAACCAAGTGAGCAAAGGGTGAATGAGGAACCAAAAGCAAAACCACCTCCTCCATTCCCATAAAAATTCAAAAAGTAGAAGGAAGAAGTTTATTGAATTAACCAAACAAGTACATGTTAACTTGCATTTGATTGATGTGTTGCAGGGCATTCCTAAGTATGACAAATATGTGAAAGATGTGGTAGCCAACAAGAGTAGATTGGCTGAGTATGCAAAAGTGGCAGTCACTGAGGAGTGTAGTTCTAGAATCCAGAATAGGCTCCCAACTAAGTTGAAAGATCCAGGGAGTTTTACCGTGCAAATAAAAATTGGTAAGTGCATTGAGGCAAGAGGGTTGTGCGATTTCGGCGCAAGTATCAACTCGATCCCTACGTCCATGTTTCTCAAGTTGGGACTAGGAATGCCCAAGTCCACAACCATTATGTTCTAGTTAGCCGGCTGTTCGGTAGCAAGGCTAGATGGCGTTATTGAGGATGTCTTAGTCCAAGTGGGAACTCTGATTTTCCCCATAGACTTTGTCATCTTGTTTTTTGAGCCTGACCCAGAGGTCCCATTTATTTTGGGACGCCCATTCTTAGCAACCGGGGGTGCGTTAATTGATGTGGCGGCTGGTAGACTGACAATGAGGGCTCATGACAAGGTAGAGGTATTTGATGTGTACAAGGCAATGAAGTTGCCTGCAATATATGACAAGTTGTTAGCAATTACAGTCATTGATGAGGAAATGGCATCTAAATATGTTGAAGCCCGATAGCCTTTAGAGAAAGTATTAATTGGGCAAGACATTGTGGGAGACACTGAAGCCCAGGAGTTAGCTAACATTCTAGATTTCCCGAATTTAAGTATGCTTCGCAAGTTTGTTGAGCCATTAAAAAGAGTCTTGGGACCACCTCCTTAGCCATCAATTGAGGAAGCACCAATGTTGGAGTTAAAGGCTCGGCCCCCTCATCTCAGGTATTCAGTCTTAGGTGTCACTGAATCTTTACCTGTAATCCTTTCTTCTGCTTTGTTCGAAGTGCAGGTTGAGGTCTCTCTGAAAATATTTAGGAAGATGAAAAAGGCGATAGGCTGGCAAATGATTGACATACATGGCATCAGCCCAGCTTTATGCATGCACATGATATTTATGGAGGAGGGCCACAAGTCAAGTGTGCAACCTCAACTCAGACTAAACCCAATGATGAAAGATATGGTGCGTAAGGAGGTGATTAAATGGCTGGATGCGGGTATTGTATACCCAATTTCAGACAACAAATGGGTCAGCCCGGTTGAGTGTGTGCCTAAAAAGGGAGGCATGACAGTGATCACCAATGATAAGAATGAGCTGATTCCAACTACGACAATGACAATTTGGAGAATATGCATGGATTATTGGAAATTGAATGAGGCCACCAGAAAGGATCACTACCCGGTTCCTTTTATTGATTAGATGTTAGACAGGTTAGCTGGGCAAGAATATTATTGTTTCCTAGATGGCTATTCATGATACAACCAAATTATGATTGCACCAGAGGACCAGGAGAAAACTACATTCACTTGTCTGTATGGGACATATGCTTTCAAGTGAATGTCGTTTGGGCTATGCAATGCTCCAACCACCTTCCAAAGATACATGATGGCTATCTTTCATGATATGGTTGATGATTTTGTGGTGATATTCATGGCTTACTTCTTAGCATTTGGGAGTTGTTGCACCCAAATCGCACACGCAAGTGTACGTGGTCGTTCAAGTATTAAAATGGCTTTTATAAAGAGCCGGGTATCGTACCCACATGGACTTACAATTAGAAACTCGATTGTTCCAATATTTTCAGCTGAGCACAAGTGATATCAAGATTTCAAGAATGATTTATTTTATAATCTAAAAGTTAAACAAAATTAAACAAACGTGATTCAATTTCAAGGGCTTAAAACAATGATTGGGTAAACTCCAGGGCTGCAGCTCTTATCAGGATTCATGCTATTTATATTATCTAAATGAGTATTAATCAACTATCGAACCAATGATCACAGGGTTAAATGTATTTTTATGGTCTCCTGACCTCTAATCGCCTATGATAATCGACAACCTAACTACATAGTTGAGAGGGGATAGATTGGACCAAGTACCGAGCATTACGATTTCTTCCTTTATAGTGACAAAGCATGGTTTCTAGGTATCCGTATCCTAGATTCAAATTAACCTTGATTATTGAAATTTAATAATGCTCCTTATGTCCCACGTTCTATTCTCTTATTCATCTCTAGAGTTCAATGCGGACAATGTGTTTATTTCAATAGTGATCAAGCACGAAATAAGAAAAACAAGAACATTAGAAAGATTCATATGATAATTGACATTAACCCATGAAAACATAATAAATTACAATCATATTGTAGCCACAACCCTAGAACTAGGGTTTTTAGCAACTCATAATCATAGATTCGATCAAACAATGTTTAAGTATCATAGAAAGATCGAAAGTGAAAGAGTATAGGAAAGAACCCTAAAAAATGATGAAATAGCTCTCCAAGTCGTCGTTCTTCAAAACCCAGAAAAAGACTGTTTTAATAAATAAAGTATTAACCTATTTATACTAAAGTCAAAATGACCAATTATGGAACCCAGGGGTACGACGCGGAGGGATTCCCAGATTTCCATATGAGATTTTTTCTCTTCTCCGCGATGCGGCAGCTATACGGACCACTCTAACTAAATTTAAATCTCACGAATTAATTTAAGAATCCTTCACCACGATGCGGAGAGGACACATAGTACTCTGCCTGGAACTTTATTTCACGAGCAAAAGTATAATTCCTCTCTGTGACGCGGAGAGGATACGACTATGCCTTGGAATTCTTCTCTTTCTTTTTTCTTCCTTGATTCTTTTCGACTCGGATCTTTTGTGTTCCCCAATGTCCATGTTAGTGCTCGTTTCTCCCTTTAAGCTCACTTACACAACTAATCATGTTGGTTAGCTTATATATAACCAAAAGACTCGATAAGACTTTAAACAAACACATTGAATTCAAACTTAGCTTAAATACGGGCATTATTAGATTTCTAGGCATATAAATTGCGTAAGATCGAGAGTCTTTTGACAGGTGTCTGGAGAATTTGGACAGGGTTCTAGCTTGATGCGAGGAAACTAATCTCGTCCTAAACTAGGAAAAATGTCATTTTCTAGCAAAGGAAGGGATTGTATTGGGCCATAAGGTGTCAAAGCATATTCCGGTATCTAACAGTTCACGACAACCTTTAGCCAGACGCGTGTCTCCCTAAGCATGTGAGCTTAGGGAAGAGATTGGTGATATCTCTTCCCACTATGCTTAGTCCATTGCGCCATGGACTGTGGGCCGCATAGAGTATGTCCAATGGCCCGGTATGCAGGGCGTATGTTTAACCCTGTCAGCCCTAGTGGATCATTGTCCTTTGGTGTACCCAATATGTCATTCATACCCGAGGGAGTGATAGGCACATTAACTCCCCGCACAGTCACAAAATGGGATCTTGCATCCGGTGCCCAATTGGCATAGAATTCTCAGACAATGTGCAAGTTTCACTCTTCCGACTTGGCAAAGATGAAATCCATACGCAACTCCCTTTTCTACCTAAGTATCTAGGGGAACTCCCACACCAAGCTCATCTCCCTGTCAATACAAACGTCAGAGACCTCATGTGTGCTTTTTGTACCATGCTTTTCCTTCCTTGGTTATAACTTTTACCCCGAACTGCCTCGTTCGGCCTCTAGGGACTACAAGTGCGGGTGGGACATTCCCATTCCAGACACGTTTCCTATGGCTCGATGTGGTAACTTTCTTACCGGGTCTTTGTGACCTCGACATGATTACCTGCAAGCCTAAACAAAACAGCCCAAATGACTACATATCATTGATAAAAATATGGGTGGTGTGCACACACAACCCCACACTTAGTTCATTCCAGCCTCTTGCGTAGGTACTCAGACTTCCCACAAGCGTACACAAGTAAACCAAAACAACCACCAACAACTACCCATTCCAAATATTGCATACACTTATCGGTCCTACTCAAGAATTCACAACAAACAACTTATGCAACAATTTCAGACCTAGTCACCATTCAATCATGATTAAAGAGACTTTATACTCCAACTTCAAAATCCCACACAACATACATGAAGCAATCAATTTCGTGCAAGCAAATACCATTCGTGTTATTCAAAAATTCACATGCTGAAATTCATACACACATACTATACTCACTACACATGGACTGACCACCAATACAAAATTTCTCCAATCTTTGAACCAAGCGTATCACATTAAACACTAATTCACCCCAACTCACATACAACAAAAAAAAACTATTGCTCACAAGATTTCAACATACCCATAGACAACATTGCATAAACCACACCATTCAACCGAATAGACCTCATTCACCAACTATACAAGTTCAACACAACCCATTCAGTCCCACACATTCATTCACAAAACAACACATAATGTTGACTAAAGGGGTCGTCTACTCAAGACTTCGAAGGCCCAACAAGAATAACAACAACAATAAGTCATACCTCCCACTTCCACACAATAACAAACCACTCCTATACCAATAGTGCACCCACATGAACAGGTAATAGGAATTTCGAGCACAAGTTCATACATGAGAGTGATGAAGACGAGTTGAAGGGAGGGAGAATCGATGATTTGACTCCGCGTTATGGATGTAAGCGTGAACAATCGATATGAACGAAAGGGAGGGAAGAAAATCACAGTGAAAATGAGGGGAATAATGGGGATTTTTGGTGAAATTGGGGTTAAAAGGGGGATTGGGTCTGGTTATTTTATTTTGAAAATGGGTAAAACCCATTTTCACTAATGAAAATAAAAAACTGCCTTACTTGGGGCGCGATGAGGGGTGGTCACGGACCCCTCTGCCTCACCCAGGAAAATTAATTCCAGGCGAGGCAAAAATTTGCGACACGATCCGCGACGCAGCTCCTTTATGGAGCTGCCTTCTTTTTGAGGTAAACATAACTTACCGTCAAATCAAATTTTTTGGCCTCCCTCCGCGACTCGCTCACTTCACGGACCATTCTACCTCGCCCTAGAAAATTAAATCCAAGCGAGGTAAAATTTGCAACATGCTCCGCGATGTGGCTCCTTCACGGAGCAGCCTTGGGTCAAAATTCCTGTTTCCTGCACATTTTAAGCTCAAAACTCATATGTAAAAATACGATTGCCTCCCATCTAACTGCTTAGTTTTGGTTGTGGCACGACTCATATTTTTGTACTTTTCTGAATATATCATTTTTTTTACTAATTCCTATGAATTGAAATAACAAAACAAAAGAATAGAAATCCTAACTATTACAAGGGGTCACAGGTTGCCTCCGTGCAACGCCTAATTTAACGTCGCGGCACGACGAATCTCATGACTCAATCGTCATTCAATTTGATGGCTTCAAGCTCACAATCAACATCATTTTTGAAATAGTGCTTGACCCGTTGCCCATTCACAAGGAGAGTAAAATTCTTATCCTTGTTCCTTAGCTCTACTGCACCATGTTGGGTCATCCTCACAACTTCAAAAGGACCACTCCATTTAAATCGAAGCTTTTCGGGGAACAATTTCAATCGTTAGTAAAACAACAACAATAATTGATTAGGCTCAAAGGTGTGTGACACAATATGCTTGTCATGCCACCTCTTGGTCTTCTCTTTGTACAACTTAGCATTCTCATAGGCGTGAAGCCTGAACTCTTCTAACTCATGCAACTGTGTTATCCT